AAGAAAATTTGCAATAATGGACAGCGATGTTGCTGAAATGTACATCGCTGTTGAAAAACTTTCTGGTCTGATTTGAAAACATGGTTTTTTTAAGATAACAGCGATGTAGAGTTACATTACATCGATGTTTAAAAAATTCTGGAAACAAAGAGTAAGAGGACTCCCTGTGACAGCAATATTTGTGTATTTTACAGCGCTGTTGGCCGAAGTTGATTGACGGTGTTCCCTTCTACATCGTTGTTTGTCTTCTGCACAGCGCTGTAGGAACAGCGATGTTGTCCTTTTTACAGCGCTGTTTGCATGGTTCCCCCTGATTTTATGAACGGGGTACCTGCAAAAAAAGAAAAAATTCTCCGGCGCTCAAGTTAGTAAACGTTTAACAAGTGACAATGCACAACTTAGATCATCGTGGAGTCAAGGATTCCGAGTTCACTTCGAATGCGGAAGAACGACTCTTTCTCTAAAGGTTTTGTGAAAATGTTGGCTAATTGGTTGTGTGTTTCAACGAACTCAATTTCGACATCACCTTTGAGAACATGATCTCTAATGAAATGATGCCTAATGTCAATGTGTTTCGTCCTTGAATGAAGAACGGGATTCTTCGTCAAGCTTATGGCGCTAGTATTATCACAATGAAGATGAACGTGATTGATACTAAGGCCATAGTCCACGAGTTGTTGCTTCATCCAAAGGATTTGAGCACAACAACTACCGGCAGCTATGTATTCCGCTTCGGTTGTGGATAACGCAACACTGACTTGTTTCTTACTAAACCATGAGACTAGAGAGCTACCAAGTAAGTGGCAAGTCCCACTCGTACTTTTACGGTCTAATTTGCAACCGGCAAAGTCCGAGTCGGAATAACTAACGAGATGACAAGAAGAGCCTTTTGGATACCACAGTCCAACGTTAACCGTGCCAACAAGGTATTTCATGATCTGTTTCACCACCGTTAAGTGCAATTCCTTCGGACACGATTGATACCTTGCGCAAAGGCATATGCTAAACATGATATCCGGCCTACTAGCAGTAAGATAGAGAAGGGATCTGATCATACCTCGATACCTTATGACTTCTACTTCCTTACCTTTATCGTCTTTGTCAAGATGGTTGGATGTGCTCATCGGGGTCGCCATGGCTTTGGTGTTGTCCATTTCGAACCGTTTTAGGAGTTCTTTGCAGTACTTAGTTTGGAAAATGAATGTGCCATCTCTCATTTGCTTCACTTGAAGTCCCAAAAAGAACGTGAGCTCACCCATCATTGACATCTCGAATTCGCTAGTCATTAGTTTGGAGAATTCCTTGCACAAAGACTCGTTAGTAGCACCGAATATAATATCGTCTACATGAACTTGAACCAAAAGGATGTTATTGTTTTTACTCTTTATAAAAAGTGAAGTGTCAACCTTTCCCCTTTGGAATCCACTATCCAAAAGAAATTTACTCAAACGTTTGTACCAAGCACGGGGTGCTTGTTTAAGACCGTAGAGCGCTTTCTTGAGTTTGAAGACATGGTAGGGATACTCAAAGTCTTCAAACCCCGGGGGCTGGTCAACGTACACTTCCTCTTGAGTAAAACCATTGAGGAAGGTATTCTTAACATCCATTTGATAAAGTTTAAAATCCATAGACGAACCAAAAGCAAGAAGTAAACGTATAGCTTCTAAACGTGCTACGAGTGCATAAGTTTCTTCAACATCAATGCCTTCTTCTTGATTGTAGCCTTTAGCTACGAGCCTAGCTTTGTTTCTAGTGCTTATTCCATTTTCATCAAGTTTATTATGGAACACCCATTTCGTACCAATAATCGTACGATCATTGGGCCTTGGCACCAATTCCCAAACGTCATTCCGTTTGAATTGGTTTAGCTCCTCTTGCATAGCCAAGGTCCAATGTTCATCGTTTATTGCTTCGGAAATGGTTGTAGGTTCAATTTGAGAAACAAAAGCCATGTGTCCTACGGTGTCCCTAAGTGAGTTACGAGTACTTACCTCGTGGTTGATGCTGCCGATTACCTGGTCAAGTGGATGGTTCTTGTTCGTTCTCCAAGCGACGGGAAGCTTGGTTTCCTCTTGTTCCTGGGCTTCCTCGTGTTTTTCTTCGTCCGCTTGTTCTTATTCATTTTCGACCATCACTTGAGGTGTTTCCTCAGTTTGTGGTTACGGGTTGGTGTATATTGGCGTGTCTTCTTCATCGTCTTCAACGTGTATGTTTTCGAGTGAATCTGCAAGATCATCACAAATAGCCTTTCTCACCAAACGAGTATTATCTTTGGAAAACACAACATGAGGGGACTCCTCAATGGTCAAAGTACGTTTGTTAAACACTTTATAGGCCTTGCTACGAAGTGAGTAACCAAGAAAAATCCCTTCGTCCAACTTGGCATCAAATTTTCCCAAGTTTTCTTTGCCGTTATTATGGGAAAGGTTTGGCTTTCTCCCTTTGTATAATTCATAAGGCGTTTTCATGAGTATCGGTCGAATAACGGCTCGGTTTAACACATAGCTCGCGGTACTCACGGCATCTGCCCAAAAATACTTAGGGATTTTTGCCTCATTGATCATAGTTCTTGCCATCTCTTCGAGACATCTATTTTTACGTTCCACCACTCCATTTTGTTGTGGTGTACGTGGGGCTGAGAAATTATGATCAATGCCAAGTTCGTCACACAAATCCGAAAATAGATTTCGTTCGAACTCTCCCGCATGATCACTTCTTATGGCTACTATAGTTGTTTCTTTTTCATTTTGAACTTTCTTTAGGAAATTTTTGAAAACGTGAAATGCCTCACTTTTATGAGTAAGAAACAAGGTCCAGGTAAACCTAGAGTAGTCATCGACAATCACAAACGCAAAGTAATTACCACTGAAACTTTTCGTTCTAGAAGGACCAAAGAGATTCATGTGCAAAAGTTGAAGCGGTATAGACGTTGAAACAACGTTTTTAGACTTAAACGAGGCCCGAACTTGCTTCCCCTTTTGACATGCATCACAAATGGTGTCTTTTTCAAACTTAAGTTTTGGAATGCCAATTACTAAGTTTTGTGAAATCAATTTGTTCAAAAGGTTCATGTTCATATGAGCTACCCTTCGGTGCCATAACCAAGTGTCTTCCTCTTTACTCATAAGGCACTTAGAAAAGCCGGAAGGTGATTTGTCTAAGTTAACCATGTAAATGTTATCGATTCTATCACCACGTAGTATCATTTGGGGATTTACATGTGTACCCCTGATTGGGACTAATTTGGTCCAAGTCAGGGTACACTTTTTGGTCCAACTTTCTCTGAATTGATTTCTTTTTGCATCGTTGCGATCAGACAGTCGAGCTTTATTCAACGATATAATTTATATATTTATTTGTAATACTTTTTCTGACATCATAATTTTTGGTGTTTGACTTTGACAGAGTCAAAATTGTTGGAATAAGTGACCAACGCTAGAAGGGGGGTGAATATCGTTTGATCATAGAAGTCGCAGGAATAAAAAAAATTAAGAACGTGAAAAGTAAAGAGCGTAGAAAAAGTAAAGGGAGCACACCAAGATTTATACTGGTTCACCATAACGTGTGGCTAATCCAGTCTCCTGAGAGACTCTCTCGAGCTACACTACTTCCGTTAAGCTTACGGGTGCTTAACAAACCGTTACAACTTGAGAACTCGAGTCCCACGGGCCTCAAAAACACTTGCTCGGAGATACCACTCTCCAAGACTTCAACCCGAAGGAAAAACACCTTTCCTTCGTACAACCAAGGGAAACAAACTTCCCTTAACGTCTATAAACACTAAGAATACTCAAGAACAAGGCTCTCTCAAAAGAGTGAATATGAGTAAAGTAATACGCTCAAGATCACATCGCTGTTCAGGCCTGACTTTGAAGGGGAAGGAATTGGCCTGACATCGCTGTTTCTGGGTCAACAGCGCTGTTCAAAAACTTTCTGCCAAGGCATTCTTTTTTTGCTTAGGTTGGACAGCGATGTAGGCAAGTCTACATCGCTGTTCCAGATGTTTCTAGAAACCCAACCTTGGCTCAACAGCGATGTCTAACATCCAACATCGCTGTTGGAAGACTTAGCGCCAAACCATGATTTTCAGCTGCCCATGCTAGACAGCGTTGTTGGTCAATCCAACATCGCTGTTGGGCTGGTTTAGCCAGACCCATGGTTGGTTTAGTCATGCCATTAGCCGATGTCAAAAATCTAAGTTCTCCAAAGTAAAAACCAAGTATTGAAAACATTTTTTTAATGAATTTTGCTATGAAATCAAGTAAAACATCTTGAAAACCACGCCATTTAGATAAAAACCATGGCTAGCCAAAATTACGTCGTTTCGTATGGTTTTTACTAAACGACCAAAAACGAAAGGTGGTTTTTGAAGCGTTTTTGTTGGAGAACTATTTAAATATGCCCAGAAGTAAAAACCAATCATAAAAAGTTGAAAACCACTTGGTTGGTTCGGACGCCAAAAACCAACGCTGATAACCGAATGCCAAACGCCGGTTTCTGAAAACCGAACGCCGGATGGCTTGGTTTTTGGTTTGGGTGAACACCAAGTGTTTTAGGCTTGTTTAAAACTTATGAAAAACTTTTTTGAATATGCAAAAGAGTATTTTAATGATGTTTTGGAAGTTTGTGCCGGTCTTGATCACATTAAGACCGACTCAATAAATTCTAAGTCTTCGTTCTTGGTTCTTGGTTCTTGGTTTTTAATTCGTCATGCCATGTTCTTTCGCCTTTGATTTGCACAGCTTAATCTTGTTATCACGACGGTTTGCCATTATCAAAACCTGTCATAAAACGAACACGGTTTAGTACGACATAGGCGTAAACCCGTGTTCCAACCATTTCCCCTTTTTTGATAACTGCAAACAAGATGGGGATATGCATACTAAGGGATATTTGATTTTGAAGGAAAGGTGTGAAAAAGTTCCCCCTTAATTTGTGCTTAAAATAAGTAGTCGTTTTAAAATCAAACGTTCCCATTTTTAGAGACGTTCCCCCTTAGTATATGCATAGCCCTTTTCTTCCCCCTTTTGACATTAACAAAAAGATAAAAGATTATTTTATTTATTGAATTGGGAAATAGCGGAGTACAACGGAAGCAAGTAATTTAAAAACATGACACTAAAAAAAGGAAAGAAATTCTAGGGGCGGCCTAGTCTTCGTCTTCGATTTCCTCCTCGTCATCGTCGACCTCCATCTCATCCCCGTCATTGGCGTCGTCGAACTCATCCTCGTCCGGGGAGCTTGACGGGGCGTAGGAGCCATCCTTTTCGTCCTCGTCACCGTACACTTGCCCAAGGAACGTGCCTTCGTACGGTGGGGGGACGTAGTTGACTCGTTGGAAGTACGCGTTCATGGCGTGCCCTTAGCGTTGAACAGCCTCGTCGAGCCGTTCAAGGTACCCGTCCATCCCGTCGACTTTGAAGTGCAGCCGGTTGAGGGAGTCGGCGATGGAGGCTAGGTTGGCCCGGGCCTGGGGTTCGGGTGGGCCAGCGGCAGTGCGGCGTGGCGCGGCAATGGCAGGCGCGGCGTTGTCCGACCGCTTGGTGAAGGTGATAAGCCGGGTTTGGGTTAGTTCTTTTTATTCAATTTTAGGTATTTTTAATATTTTTAGAGTTTAATTTTTAGTAGTTTAGCTTAGTTTTATTTTAATTCTCATTTTTACAATCTTTTAATTTTCTTTTAAAAATAATATGTTTTTAATTATTTTTTAACATTTTATTATTGTCTTCATTTTATTTTATTTTTCCTAACTCAAAATTATCAGATATCATATTTTTTGGAGAAAAGTATAACAAAAGGCCAAAGTTGTCTTCACTTTACTTTTACTTTCACGCAAGGAAAAAAAGAAGAAGTCAAAGAGCCAGCTGTTCTTCCTCTTCGTAGATTGCAGCGCGCATAACTCCTCCAACGTTCGGCTCCATCAAATTCGCGACATTCAATTCTCAACGGGAAGTAACTCAACGGTAAGTTACTCCTTCTTGCTATAAATTGGAGCAACATCAACTCAAGAACGCAGGGGGGAAACACACGAGAATAAAGCAGCGGCCAAGCCGCTGCTACGGCGGGTTCCGGCGGACATCTCTGGCGCGGCGGTGGACGGCCGGCAGACACGAACCGGCGGCGGCATCATCTCCGGCGAGCGGTCGGCAGTAGCTCCGGGCAGAGGTTAGGCTGTTCCATCACAGCTCCAGTTTACTCAATTTGTTCATCTTCTTCAACAATGGGTAACCTTTATTTGTCAATTTTTATTTTTTTTCCTCCAATTCTATGTAAAAGTTTGTTTTTTTAATTCAATTCTTACATTTTTGTTTGTTTGTTTGTTTTAATTTCAAATATTCTAAAAAAATGGTTGGTGTTCTTTATGGGTTTTTTTTCATGTTTATATTAATATCCCTTATGAGTGAGAATTGATTCAAACTAGTTTTTCTTCAATTATTGAGCAAGTTGTTGTTGAATTGGTTGAATTGCATAATTTGATTTCATAAGTAGGCTGGTATGTGGAATTCGGTTTTTGTTGAACCTATTTTAGCTCCATAAGGTAGTTAAATGAACTCCGAATTCATACGTGAATCTCTTTTGTGCTTGTGTTCGTTGATTTTAAGAATTTTGGACTTCTTAGCCCCATAAGATGATTCATTTTTCTTAGAATTCGTTATTGAGTGATTGTTATGTTTTCGTGTGTTCGTTTGTTATTTTCATTAATTAAGGTTGTTTAAGCTCAAAAACAATTCTTGATTTAGTGAAAATATGTTGTGTTCCTCTATGTGAATAGAAAAAACGTCATTGGTTTGAGAAGTTCATGGAAATCTGTGAAATGTGCTCATCATTAGGAGAAAAAGTTTATTAAAATGCATAAGGTATTGGCAGTTTGTGAATAGATTATGTATGAGAGTTGAATGCATAATAGATTCTCTCTTTTATAAACTTTTTCTATAGTGGAAGTATGTTCTCATGCTTGAATAGAGAGTTGGGGTTTTAAGGTATATTTCAAAACGGGCCTTTGAATTGCATGACTCCGGGCCGTGTGGAGAGTTGACAATCCTCCATATCGTGGTTAAGGAAATGAATCGACTCGGCCTTTGATTGTTTTTCCTATTCTTAAGTGCGTAAGTTACGTAATATATTGTCTACGTG